TTGATGCCTTCCCATAAAAATGGCCGGGTATATATTGTTTGTCATGTACATCTGTTGCAACCACTATTTTAAAAACGACCACTATTGAAATAATTATATCAAAAGTTGTTGAGAGTGCATTTCAATAGCAAACATAGTTAGTAACCACTATTGAAATACAACCACTATTGAAATAATTATATCAATAGTGGTAAAGAGTGCATTTCAAAAACAAACATAGGTAATAACCACTAATGAAATACAACTTCTTTAGAAATAATTATATTATTAGTGGTTGAGATTGCATTTCAATAACAAACATAGGTAATAACCACGATTGAAATACGACCACTATTGAAATAATTATTTCAGTAGTGGTTGAGAGTGCAATTCAATAACAAACATTGGTTAAAACCACTTTTGAAATATGACTACTATTGAAATAATTATTTGAATAGTGAGTGAGAGTCAATTTGAATAACAAACATAGGTTGCAACCACTAGTGAAATAATGTTCACTTTTGAAAAAAAAGTTTTCAATATGGATAAAATTGTTGATTTGAATAGTGCTTTGAACAATGAATCCAATATATATTGAAATAATTATTTCAAAAGTTGCTGACACGGTGAAACTTTTCTTACAATACTGGTAGTATTTCAATAGTGCTTGAAACCTCTGGTTACCATATTAAAATGCACTCGCACTAACTAATAAATAATTATTTCAATAGTGCTCGTATTTCAATAGTGGTTGAAACCTATGGTTGTTATATAGAAATGCACTCTCACCCACTATATAAAAAAAAATATTTCAATAGTGGTCGTATTTCAATAGTGGTTACTATTTTTTTTTTTTATTGAAATGCACTCTCACCTACTATTGAAATAATTATTTCAAGAGTGGTCGTATTTCAATAGTGGTCTCTAACTATGTTTGCTATTGAAATGCACTCTCAACCACTCTTGATATAATTATTTTAATATTGGTCGTTATTTCAATAGTGGTTGCAACATATGTCTTACATTTTCCTTCTGTCCCTCTGTCCTGCATTGCGTTTACCTCAGTTCAAAGCTCAATTTTAAAGAAACTATTCAATTTCTTTTATATTAAACGTCCTATTCTGATAAACATTGATGATAGTTTTTTTACCGCATCAACATATTTTGACTTTGACCTTTCCTTTGAACTTAATCTCACTTTTTAAAAATCTGCCTAAAGAGACCATTGAAGATTGTATCATCAAACTTCATGTGCCGATATGTACTAATATGTGCCGATACGTACTATAGGCTACACGTTTGTAACTGCATCAACATTTTGTTTTACCTTTCCTTTGACCTTAACTTAATTTTTTTCAAGTTATTGTATAACTCAGAAACATACCATTCAAGATTGAGTATTATTTTACTTCTGATGGAGATACATACATTTTTTTATACTTTGACCGCTCCTTTCATCTTTTTCTTACTTTACCTAATTTAGTTAGTATTTAGCTCAGTTTTGAAGAAAGCATTTATATTTTTACTCAACTTCATATGCTGATACACACTTACGAGAGCTATCCAAACCCTTGTGTAGAACAGATGCTCTAACCACTGTGACACACGGGCGACCTGCAGTTTTGAAGAATCCATTCAAGACATTTTTATCAAACTTTAGTGACCTGATACATTTTGATCTTGCACTTCCCTGTGACCTTGACCTCACTTGTCTTTAATTTGTAATTTGCTTAGTATAAAAGAAACCATTTGAGATATTTTTTATGTAAGCTTATGCTAAAATGCATTATCTGAACGGAATTTTATAATCTATGTCCATTTTTACGATTAAGATTTTTAAGAAACTATTCAAGATATTCTCAACAAACGTCATACACTTATACAGATTTAACGTTGTATTATTTACTTATGTACACCCGGCGGGGTATTCATGTCCTATAGATATATTTCTCGTTAAATCATTATGTAAATCATAGTTTTGAACCTAAAAAATTCTTTCGATTCGATATATGTTCAGAATAAAATTTTACTGAACATATTCAGTATTTTGGACGAGTCACTGTTACTGACAGAGAAACTTTAAATTCTCAACCGTATTTGTACCAGTGAAACATAGCTGATATAATGCAAGGTGGGGCAGAACCTTGACTCAAGTTCAAGGTCACTTAAGATAAGATGTTTTGGGAGGATATATGGACTAAAAGAATATCTAAAAAACATACGTAAACTTTTCCAGTCAGTAACATACAGATGATGTATTTTTATTACAGAGTTTGTCATTGCTTGTCGCAAGGTCATTTAGAAAGTTCAAGTTCATGCACAAAACATTCCTTTACAGTCTTTTTCCTGGCAAAAAATTGTAAGTTGCTTCCTTAACAAGCTTTTAGGTTGCTTACTTATATAATTTTAGAATGGTTTGACCTAGACTCAAGGTTATATCTTCCTTTCCGTAGCTCCAACGGAAAACCTATTCGTTGCTTTGCAACGAGCTCGACTCTAGTTAAAATATATAATGCTTCCCGGAGAATTAAAGAATATCAAATAAAGAGTCAACCTCTCCTCGTCCTGTAGATAGAGGGTCTGCTCTAGAGTCCCAAAGTAAGGAGTCAATCCTTACGTCTCGGGCTCGAATTCCACTGTGGGACGTGATGACCGATCCTTCAGATGAGACCGTATAAACCGAGGTCCCGTGTCGCAGGAGGTGCTGGCACGAATTAGAACCCTCCCTCCTGAACGGCCTTAAGTGCCAAGTATAGGACAAAGTTTGCAGCTCTCCACCGGCAAGTTGTGCGACTCCATATGAGTGAAAATTTCTCAAGAGGAACGTTATACAATATACAATCAATCAATCGACCTCCTCGTCTGTAAAATGTACATTAATTTTTTTTCTTCCTAATTTAGAAGACCGATAATTCTGATGTAGATTTCCATTATTTTAAACAATATGTAAACTGAGATAAAAGAAATGAAATAATATAAAAAAAACACGCATCTATTTTTCTAATGTTTTTTGAGAAAATGAAATTATACAATTTGATCAAGACACATTTTTTTCTTTTCTCCTCTTTTTTAAAAATCACCAGAGGTATTTTAACAGCTATGATTTTTTTTTCAATTTGTGCATTAAAAAATGCATTAGCCGATCAATATATCGAATAAATATTTATTATGCTTATTAATGGATTGTGTATATCGTTTAACGTCCTTCCCGAAAAAAAATTCACTTGTATGGAGATGCCACCACTTGCAGGTGGAGAGCTGTAGATTTTTTCCTATATTCCGCACTGAGGGCCATTGAGCAGGGAAGGATCTTTTTCGTGACAGCAGCCACTGCAACACAGGGCCTTGGTTTAAACTGTTTTATCTAAATGACTTCCAACATGTACAGTGGGATTCGAACCCGCGACAAAATTATTGACTCCTTACTTCCCGACTCTAGAGCGTACGCTCTAACCACTTCGCTACGAGGTCAACTGTTTATTAATTAGTGAAAGTCAATTGATTGATTGTATATTGTTTAACGTCCCACTCGAGAATTTTTCACTCATATGGAGACGCCATCACTTGCCGGTGAAGGGCTTCAAATTTTGACCTTTACTCGGCACTCAAGGCCATTGAGAAGTGAGGGATCTTTATCGTGCAAACGCCTGCCGCTGACACGGGGTCTTGGTTTTTAAGGTCACATCCGACGGACTTGCAACTTTCACTTCAAAGTGCCCAGAGCATGGCGAAGGAACAGTTGTTACCAATTTTATCTACTAGGTCAGTCGCAGCCGAGATACGAACTCACGACCTTCCGATCACGGAGCGAGCGATCTACCGATTGAGCTACCGCGAACGGTAAATTGACCTCTAATAAAAAGAATAAAGAAAATAAATACGTAAATGTGCATGCAATATGCTACTCGTAAAATAAAAATAAATTAATTGCTTTTCATACTCAAATTTAACAAAAATAATTTTAAAAAATATAAAAAATGCTGCCTGGAGATTTAATATATATCAAATAAAATCATAATTTAAGAATCATTTTAATATTAGATTTTTACTGTAAATAAACACATGTAACATTTACAATGTTAAGATTCATATTGAATAACAAATTGGTCGAATGGCTGACTACATGTAGTTAACACATTTCATCGTTTATTCCATTTGACAGATATGTTTGCTCTTTTGATTGGTCGATGCACTCGGTATTTAATCGCTAATCCTGATTGACACCTATGTTATTTTATATGGAGGGCTTTCTGGGACAGCTACTGAATTTGGTTTTTTTCTGGTTTCGGCGGTCAGCTCCGTAGCTGGTTCGCTTTGGCTGCGCTCCGGGTTCGCTCTGGGTCAGCCCTAAAGGACCCAAGCATACCTGAAGCGGGCCCATAGGTCGAACCAAGAGTGGACTGCTGGTTCACCTTCTTATAGGTTGTGAAATACAAATTTTTAAAGGTTATCACTTGAACCGTCTTAAGATTGGTTAATTTGGATCTTTAAACTCGAAACTCGAATCTCGAATCTCGAGTAAGCCATCTGGGCTTTCGTATAAACCACTGTCAATGTTTCTTAACAGAGGACTTATATTGCCTGATGTACAATCCAAATATGAATTTTGACTTAATAAAAAATTATTAAATTAAAATCATTATAGTAAATCAAAGTTTTTACCTTAGACTATCAAAGTTTTCATAGTAAACACTGTGGTAAATCAGAGTTTTAATATTTATTACATTCGTAAATCTAAGTGTTAAACTGAAAACTATAGTAAATCAAACTGCCAAAGTTATCAATAAAGTAAATCAACGTTTTCATAGTGTCAAACTTATCATTAAAGTTCACTTTGGTATTTTTATTCAAATAGTTTAGTGTTTAGCAGTGTTGTAAGTTTATGTAAACTTTCTCTAAAAAATACTTTATTAAATGTTGACCAAATTTCATGATTTTTACTGTCTTTTATGGAGCAAAGATAAATGCCTCAAAAATTATTTTCAAACAATTCTCGACATTCAGCTGTATAAATTACATACCTTGTACAGCATGTCCTTGGTATGACAATTCCAGCACAAGATATGATATCACCATACAGAAGGATATCTTCCATTTTTTCATGATAGCAAGACTTAAATTGTCCATGTACTATTCCTGTAAAAGTAAAATTCTGTATAGCAATCGATATTCGTCGATTTACTTCCGAATCGATAGCAGTAAAATAAATTCCAATATTGCTGTCCTTAATTTATGTTTTTCCTCATCTTACTTTCAATCCAATTTATATGTTTGATTCCTAAAGACATGCTTAAAACAACCATATAGATAGAAAAGTATCTTTTAGAGAATTTTAACTTCATACTTAAGGAATAACTTATTTTCGATTTCATGATGTGATCAGTGGATTTAGTTACATGATAATTTGCATGAATATCGAAGGCGTTTATGCAAAAAAACTATCACACAAGCCAATCGATTGATCATCGTAACGAAATATAAATAGAAATAAGACAGGTATTCCTTGTATTCACATGATATTGATACCGCCAATCCACGTGCTAGGAGACCGGCTTCTTGTCTCTGTTTGTCCTGCCCTGCATGTACGGTAACTTTTCTTTACCGCACCTATCGATGAACCAGTACATTGATGGAGATACATTAACTTTCTATAAATTTATCTCGAACAAAGACATTGGAAATGTTACTTTAAGATCATAAAGAAAATCAATATGAAACTATAAGACTTCAGTTGGCTTTGCATTAGAGTTTATGTAATTGTACAACAGACAACATTTGAGCAAAGCTCAAATGACTTTTAAATACGTCAGATTTCCATCACAAGATATTGTTTTAAACAAAATATTGATGAAACCTAGTGAAACAAATTACTTATATAGCGTTCAACATGGGCAGTTTACATTGGGTAGTCCAATATTGTATTCTAGTTAGGGATTGGAGGTTGTAATTTATTTAGATTAAGTATCAGATTGTTACTAACATATTGATGATAATTTTTTCAATAACCTGGTAGGATTGTTGAAATAAAGCAAAATTATATTTTATAATGCCCTACCTCAATATTATCCTCCCTTTAATCTATCCAGAAACAGGGGGAACGGCCCAAAAGACCCCCTCAAGCTCGGCACTTTGCAGCAGATTCACTCATATGCCTCAAATGATTTGACAGTTCTATGGTTTATTGAATGTCGTTATCATCCGAGGTTTGACGATTAGACCTCATAATAATCTGTCAATTTACAGCGTGTAAACAAGATATAAGAACCAAACAAAATATAATTCTGGTTTATATTTTTTTTTTTCTTTATCAAAAATGGAAGTTGTAAAAAAAAAATAACGTCAAATAAATTTTCTAAGGACACATAAAATAACGTCATTTTTATGATACCAAATTTTACACCGACACACAAGGTGCAAAGTCTACGCATCCATTCATGAGTATGCGGATGTCGTAGTTGATTTACGGTACCGACGTACACAACCAGTTTATAACTTGGAGTCTCGTCGTCTTTGTATCTTTTGAACTTAACGTATATCCCCTCCCCCGTTTGTTACCGGTGTAAAGACGAATAATGACCCCCATCGAATAATGACAGGGGGGTCATTTTTCAACGACAAAAAATGACCCCCACCCGTAGAAAAAAATCATTTTTTGTAGAAAAAGAGTTCTAGGGGGTCATTATTTTATATGTTAGTCCTATAAGATAATGACCCCCATTGAAAAATGACCCCCTTTAAAGTGATACAAAATATACACTCTTTGATATCTTTTTTACAGCGAAACTAATTTTTACATTTTCTGTAACCAGGAAAATACAAAAAGTCGTATGAAATAATTAAGATATTCATGTAGTCTTTCAATGCTAAAATTGTGTTTGAAAAGAGATTCTTTAATTATCAAGCAAATAAAATTTCTTTTTAATATTCCTCCTTATACGAGGGCTGTTCAATAAATAATGTCCTGAACTATATGACATACATTACAAATATCATATGACATTAAACTTGACTTTCTCTCATTATTGAATCTTTCATGAATTTATAACAGTTTATGTGACCACTTTTCATTACATAGTTTCATCGTGAAAAGCTGGGAAACAAGGGCTTTTCGAGACACTGCATTATAAATGAATGGTAAAGAATCATTAAACTAGAGTGAAAATAAAAGCTTCGTTAAAGCTGCCGTAAAACTTGTTAAAAATCCCAAAGAAATATTTACTGAAATATGTGACATTTACAGCAACCAATGCCTGTTTTATTGACAAAAGAGCAGGTGGATTTCAATGATAAAAAATTATATAATGGACATAAAAAATGGGTACCCCCCTTGCCAACAAAAATTATAACAACTTATGTACTGTTCGCCAAATTTCAACAAATAATATCTGATGATGTATGATAGACTTTGAGACACAAAGCAAATTTGATAGACATCACATCGGGGGTAGTTTACACTGTATTTAAGAAACGTTTGACGGTATAAAAGCTTGGTACTCAAAGGTCACCTTATATTTTTAAAAAATTAGTTAAAACGACAGTGTTTACGAAAGTCTTAACAATTATTTTAAAATATCAGTAATTGTAGTTATCCACGTTTGTTTTATTTTCAAACAGATATCGAAACATGAATCTATTGCTTAAAACCTTAAAAACAAAATTTACCATAAGATGTACTTGATAAAAACGGCGAATGTCTGACAAGAGCACAGGTATGCAAGAGCACAAAGACAGATTTATATGTGATTTTCTTAAACATTAGTGGTATTGTTGTTCAAAATCGCATTCGGAAAGACAGTTTAATTTCTGGTTGAGTCGAGAAAGCACTTTTTTGGCCAAAAAATCAAAAGGTTTATTAGAGGAAGGACCCATAATCAGGAATCCACTACATTGAATTTCTTCAAGCCAGCGTCCAAGCCCGCATGCCCTGAAGAGCAAAGGGGTTTTCGGGATAAACAGAGACTTAATATTTTTTCACATTAACAATGTTCGCCAGATCTTTGACCTTTTGACTTGTTCCTAATTCCAAACTTGGAAAAAACACCTTTCAGAAGGAAGAAACAAGTTCGGGAAAATATTGGATCTGCCATTTTCCAGTATACTAAGGGTCATACCCAAAAATGAGTTCTACAACCGATCAGAAATTGGATAAAAATGTTACGGACATGTATTTTACTTAAAAGAGATTAATTAGTAAAATCATGAAGAATAAATCATTGAAAAGCGTCTTTTGCTTCTTTCTGAACACCGAGGACATTATTTATTGAACAGCCCTCGTAATGTTTGCTTAAAGAATGATATTCCACTTGTTTTAGAAACCAAACCATGCAAAATCGGGTTGAAATACTCTTTAATAGGAAAAATTAAATTTTCCATCATTTCAACTTTTAGTTTGTTTAAGTTTGGCAAATCCTATTTGACAATGAAAGAGGAAGAAATTTTTACCCCCCCCCCCCAAAAAAAAAAAAAGAACATTACGTTAAATCAAAAAAAAAAAAATAATAATAGATGAAAAGCAAAAATATAAATAAAACTCTATACCTTTCAATAATTCTGAAAGAGGCTCTAGATAAAATATTGAAATGAAGTTAAGCCTTCACACAAGTACTATCATATCATGATTTTCTTCGCCATGATCAAAGCATACTTTAAATGTTGGTGGAGGTATACTTGAAAGTATTGTGGCAAAGTAACAGTTAAAAATTAGTAGAATAGTAGATTATTTTTAGCTTATTTTTAATTCCTTCTTATAGAAAAATAAAAGTAGGGTGTTTTTTTTTGGCTTTTGTTCAATATCGACTTCCTCCTAAATAAGAAAGGGGTTGGTGTAAGTATAAGACCTAAAAATATGCTCTGTAAAGCTATGGACTAGTATAAAATACACTGTTATTCTAATGCAAAAACTATACATGTAGACATAAACTTTTGATTTAGCACACAGCATTCATTACATTTCTTCTAACGTAGAACCTACTTCGTATGACATCATAACTTGTAAATGTGTTAAACCTGTGCTAACCCATTAAGACGTCATAATTAATTCAATGCCACTTTTTCCCGTACTTTACAGCTTCAATAAAAATGGTAGAAAATACTGCATTATGAAATTCACAGAATTCAATCATGCCAACGTAATCTTGATTCAATTCATATATTTTTTGGTTTATAATGCTTAATGGCAATATATTTCTGGAATAAGAGAAAATATGTAGACATCTTTTATTTACTGGATCTAGACCTGAAGTTGACAAACCTAAGACTATCTAGTGTAATGAAATTACAATGTACATACTACTTTCGTAATAATTTGAATGGTATGTAACCATTTTGAAGGAATGCATAAATCGTAAGAAATCTTTAGTTGCCAGCTATATAGTGTAATATCTTGAAGAAATGTGTCTAAGTCAAAGATGTACGTGTTGTAGATCGTTTGATCGTGTGTACATTTTTGTGATATCTATAATGAAATGATGTGCGTTCCATTTAACAATTATTTGTTACCTATTCATATTTTTGGTGGTGTTTGATTACAATTTTTATATTAAATATGATCTTTTTAAAGAAAAAGTACAATTTCTGATAAATATTTATTCTGAAAGTAACCCCAAACAGTCATTTAATTATTAAATCCCATGTAAGTGCAAAAAGGTCAAGAATATGAGTATCGGTAAATAGCCTATCTTTCATTAGTTAGAGGGGAAAGGTATATATTTAAATCATTTTTTGTAATCATTTGGCTATGTTCTTCATCATATTGAAGATTGAAAACATTGTGACAAAGACGTCTAAAATTATTTACAAATATAGGGTGAATAATTGACTAAAAATAATAGAGTTCATTTGACTATATTTTTTTAATGGTGGACTTATCTTTTATGTTAATTGAAAAAAAAAGAAATTATTCTTGATAAAATATTGTTTAATATTATTCAGTTTAAAAAGTTTATAAACGACGATGTTTGAAGAAGTACTTTTGTGATTTTACATATTCCCTTTATGACAAGTACCCCTAAAAATATTTGAAAATGTGAAGTCGCAGTATGTAAATACCATACCAAGTTTCACAGCCTGTTCTATATTAAAAAACAAGGAAACATATCATGATATCTTAACTGATTGATAAGCAAGTACTAATTTAT